CCAATCTCTGACATTCTGTGATTCTGTAAATGGTGGATTATTCTTAACTATATAGTAAATTCCTTACTTTAAAATTTTGTTTCCTGAACCTCTAGGCAGTGTTTTAGACAATTTTCTTTTTGCTCATGGAACTATAATGTTGTTTCCCTTTCCATAGCAAAGAGGTTGGAATCCTATCAAGAGATTGATTCAGAGGATGAGGATTCAGCTGATCGTCAGTGTGGCTCTCTGACCCATATGTCAAAATGGCAGGGGCACAACTGCAGAGCTGTGAATGAATCTTTGAACAGAAAGTCTTTGAATCAGTTGTCTGATAGTTACCCTGCGTTAGGAAGGGAAGATGGAACAGGTGATGTTCGCCACTCAGGACGTGTTGCGTTCAGCAGCCCCATTGTAAGTAAAAGCGCTTCATTTTGATCCTAACTTTCTGAAGTAGCTCATGAAGGAATATATTTTTAGCCCCATTTGATCAGAGTGCTTGTCATTTAAGAAATGCTTTCTCCCTTCCATCAAAACCAGAGCCTTCCATGATTGTTTGGCTGCATCCTTTCTGCAGCTGACATTGCAGATATTCGTTGGGTCACAAAGTTGTGTTCTTAATAACAGTTTGTTCTTTTGTTTTGAAAGGTTTCTAGCATTTTCTTTTGTTTTTAATAGAAAATATCTAGATGACCAATATTTATTGGAGGTTACGAGAAGTAAAAACTCTGCTTCTGTATCTGGAGGTGCTTAAATAGTGTTCATCATATTTAATCTCTGTTGAAGTGTCTGTGAACTAAGGCTCTAGTGTTTGTCTGCCTGGGCATGAAGTTTGCCATTTTCAATGGGCTAGCACAAGGCAGTGAAGATAACAGATTTTTCCTGTTTTCTAGTATAACCAACTCAGCATCTGACAGGAGGGAAGTTTTATGAGCTTCTGTACTTGATTCATCTGATTTAACCTTCAGAGACTAAGATTACACTGATATCCTAATGGACAGTTTTGTTCATTTAATCAATAGGAAACAGATGTTATACCAGACACAGAACTGCTGGAGAAGTTCAGTCAGATTTCTTCTCATTCCTATCGACAATCAGAAGAAGCTAGCAGCAAGTTAGCTTTGGAGACAATGTACATCACTGACTTCTTTCTTGCTCTGGCAATCTGTAATACCGTTGTAGTTTCAGTCCCCAATCAGCCACGTCAGAAGGTAAGGCCTTATTTTTGGCTATTTGACCATATTCTTAAATAAATGTCCTCCTTTTGGATTGATAAAAAAAGGAAGAAAAAATTAACCTAAATTTAAAAAATGATCCTTTTCTCCTCTATTGGTTTGTCCTGTTAGAAAGAAGGGAATTACTGTAAACCCATGGAGTGCAATGGGTTAATGTGTAATATAATGCTGGTAACATTTCTCTGCTGCAGAAAAGCTTGGCTTCAATGTTGTGTATAGACTGTTCATAACTTCTACAAGACAAATCTTGAAATTAAATTGCAATTGTGATTTTTTTTTCTGTATTCTAGTTATGTTTTTCCAGATATGTGCATAGCTTCCTTTTAGAGTACCCTAACACTCAGGGTACCTTTAAAAATAGGTTATTGTTGTCTGAAAGATAATAATCTCAGAAGACTCACAGAATATTGGAACTGGAAATGCTTTGACCTGTTTCCTCGCTATTCAAATATAATTTCAGCAAAAGTATGGAAGATCAAGTTTCTGAAGAAAAAGTGCTTTGCAGTGTGACATGGAGTGATCTCACCTTGCATGTATAGTGTGTTTGCTAGACTGTCCTAGTTTAATGGTCTGGAGCGTGTTTAAGTATTTCTGAGACCACCTGTTTTCAGAGCACACAACCTAACATTTTTTTAAAGATACTACTGTCTTTTTCAGATCTTTTTTCTTTCGGGGTGGGATTTTAATAACCCCATCTTTTACCAATTTTGAATGTGTTGCAGGATAATTCCCAAGTTCAGCCTTGATTTTCTTCCCCCCATTTTAAGCCAATTATTTCATAACATTGATGAGAGGGGAACTGTCTTCTGTTTTAAATTCAGACATTAAAAAAATATTGATAAGGTACTGTATTTTTAACAGTACTTGTAGCTAGTTACTGTGAGGGGTGTGGAGCTGGTTTGTTCTTCACAATTATCTTGCTAATTCAGAACAAGTATTGAAGTGTTTAGTTCCATTTGCCACAATTTTTAAAAGTTATAATGTCATACTAACTGTTTCATTACTGAAACAGTTCTAAAGAGGATTACTACATCAGGTCATGAATCAAACTTGGAATGCATACAGTTTTCAGATCTGAAATATTTTTACAATTCTTTTGGTTTGAATAATGAAGCTCTTGCAGAAACTCTGTAAGTGTAGTCATATGTTTAATTGGGCTGGCCATCTTTAATAGAAGCAATCAAACTCATGGTAAATTTTAAAATACTACATTAATTAAGAAACATGTGTAAGCTGTCCTTCTTCAATGTAATAAAATATGAAGAATTTAACATAAATGCTTTCTCTAACTGTTCTGTTCCAGATGAGGCTCTCTTCTCTGGGTAGGATGCCTATTAAATCACTTGAGGAAATCAGGCAAATGTTCCAGAGGTTGTCAGTCCGGAGACTAAGTTCCTCCCCACTTCCAACTGTAAAAGAGTCATCTGAAAGCCCCAACAGTTTTGTGAGAAAACTGTCTATTTTCAGAATGAAGCTGGCTTCACCTGCTTTGGATGGGGATGCTGAAAGGGCTGCTGAGCCTCACAGTGCCGACAGCCCAGAAAATCCCCAAGTGCCTCAAGAACTAGATACGATGAATGTAGCTGCTGGCTGTGAACACAACAGTGCTGCATCATGTATTGAATTGTCTTCCTCACCTAAACTGTGTTATGAAGCTGAGAGTCCAGATGAAGCTGCCTTGGTTCATGCTGCTAGGGCTTATAAGTGTATTTTAGAGTCCAGGACTCCAGATCAAGTAACTGTGGACTTTGCAGGTCTGGGATCTTTAACATTTCAAATTTTGCATATCCTGCCTTTTGATTCAGTGCGGAAAAGGATGTCGGTGGTGGTTCGGCACCCAGTCTCCAACAAAGTGGTGGTGTACACCAAAGGTGCAGACTCAGTCATGATGGATTTGTTGAGAACTGCATCTGAAGGTATCTACAGAACTTCAAAGTCTTTGATCGTCTTTGCCATTCTTAGTACAGTTGAACAGATGGCCTGATTGATGAGAAGAGACAAGTAACCAAGCAGAACTATTATCTGTGAATAGTTCCTTATAGGGAACACAGAAAGGTAGTGTTGCTTGTCACCTAGATATGGCTGTGCTGTGTGCTGGTGTGGAAACTGAGGAGAGAGAAGCAACTGTTATTCAAAGGTTTTAGTGGAGTCTAAGCATAGCCTTTGGAGACAACTGAAGTATTTCCAGTTATACAGTAAGGTCATCAGCTTGCATAGTTGGCTTCTGCTACACAGTGAGAGGTGTTTATTAGAATGAGATACTTTCCAGCCTTTACCTATGTCAGCATTTCTGAGCTGTTAGAGAGAGGTATTGGTAGCAGATGTCACCTATCAGTGCTTTTTGAGTTTGTTTCCCCTTGACTACTGACTGTGTTTCTAGGTGTAATGGTAATATCTGTGAAGCTGTGTGGTACCTCCTGCTGGGCCCTGTTGTTCAGGAGTGAACGTTTTTTAAATCTGCCACGGGAGGGATGCACTGTGGTGTTTAAGCACTGACCAGTTTGTTTATGCACTGTAGTGAACAGTTATTGATTTTTAACTGAAGACAGTAAAGAAAAAGTGTTATCTATGAATGTTAGAAATATATACCTGAATATATTTAAGTTAGAAGATGTTCCAGGGTTTTTTTTAATAGTTTGGAAAGTAACATAAAGGAATTATTTTTAAAGGCTTGCTTTCTGCAAAGGGGAGTTTGGTTTGTATGTCCCATGGCTGGCTGATCTCAGTGAGGAGGAGGGATATTTCCAATTCCAAGGGTGGATTTTTGCTCACCTAACATGAGCAATCTAAAGTCTAGAGAAAAAGCCTTTGTAGGCCATGGGGCAGAAAGTGCCTCCAAAATCTGTCATCTTACTAGGGGAATGACTTCATGTCTGGAGGTGCCTGTCCTTACTTTGATTCTCAGGGTAAACTTGGAACCTAACTTTTACATATCCAAAGTTAGATGAGTTGAATGCGTGTCCAAATAGTCCACCCCTTAACAGTTATTTTTAAAAAAGCTTTTCTGCAACTGCCCTTTTAGCTCCCTTGCACTAGAGATTTTGATATACTAGTGGCATCCAAAGAGGTATCAGTACCAGATGGGCTCCCCCTCACTGCTTGTGCAGACTGGTGCACTGCATGCTGGCTTTAGATACAGTACATTGTGCAAACATGAAGATGCATTCATAGTTAAAATAAAACCTGTTAACATTTTGGTATTTTTTAAAACATATTTAGACCTTCAAAATTTTTTGCTAAGTTTAGCCTAAGAATGTGCTTTCTTTGCTTTTTGTGTGATAGTAGGTACTAATAATTCAGAAGTGGAACAAAAAAAGATTAAAGAGAGAACTCAGAAGCATTTGGATGACTATGCCAGAAGAGGACTGCGCACTCTATGTATTGCTAAGAAGGTATTCCTTTTAATACATATTTTTAAGAATGTTTACAGTCTGTGACAAATCTGAGTGATATCACCAATGGAGCAGACATCACCGCTTCTAAACAGATGCTTCTGTTGCCACATTTTGTTTATCCTTATATTTTTTTCAGGAGGAATTTGTAAGTTGAGCCTAATAAATTCCTGACTTCCATTAGATTGCCATAGTTGTTGTCAGTTTAGGATGCCAAGCAGATTAATAGCCTAATTCTAAAACAGGGATTGTCAAATAGCCTGATTTTTCTTTAAGAGTCCTGAACAGGTCTCCTTATGTGAACCTTATCCTGGCTGTAATTCCAGGCACAGAAAACAAATGAGGTCAGACCTCTTTTATTAGGTTTCACAGTTTGCAGTGTTAAAAGCTCTGGATGAAAAACCTAAGTAATGTTTTGAGTTTCCATTTTAAATTCAAAGCTGCTCAGAAGTAAAATTCCATAGGGATTGGAAAAGGCAAGAAGCTTCTTTACAAAGCCTTATGCGAAGTGAAAGTACAGGCTGTGTAGCTGTATAGTTGTCAGGCTGTACACAGCTGTGCAGTGATTCTGTGGCTGTGTCAATGCTGCAATTAAAGAGCAGAACGGAGAGTATCTATACTCACTGGCCTGCCTGCCTTCCCTCTAAATGGAAATCTGTCAGGCAGCTCTGGGGACATGCAGGATGCCAGTGGGTAACCTGGCTTGTGAAGCCTGGCAAAGTAATCTAATACTACGAACATCATACTAAATCCATGAACATGTTGGGGCACGTAACTAATGCACTGCCAGCAGCTGCGCTTCTAGGTTCAGTATGTGGACAGCAGAAGTAACTGTGAGGACACTTTTGAGGCACCTTTGAAAACAGAGTATAGACACATACTGTTTGTTTTCTCTCCCTCTTTAGGTGCTGAGTGATGCAGAATATGCAGAGTGGTTAAATAATCATTTTTTAGCGGAAACCAGTATTGAGAACAGGGAGGAGTTGCTGCTTGAATCTGCTATCAGGCTTGAGACTGAACTAACTTTGCTTGGTAGGTAGAAAATGCTGTAACTCCCAGGAAACTGCTTATGATGTTAATAATTGGCATTTACCTTGCAGAGAGCTGTGCTAACCTCAATTTGTGTAACACATAGCTTTCTACAGACCTAGAATTTATTGTCACTCCTGAATTTCCATAAATCTTGCTGGTAAGTTTGTACTAGCTGTAAAACACACTGAAGACAGCTAGTGCTCTTCTGTTGTTTGTAAAGTTTTACTGATTTTTTTTGTTACTGACTTTGGTTTTTGTGCTCACTAGAGTTTTTAAATGTCATCATAACAAGCACATGAAATAATAATAACAAATTACAGGTCTCCCTGGGCAAACATTCAGAGAGATCCCACTTCAGGGCATGTGTTCCATCACTGTTGCATTTGTGGCATGGCAGGTATGCTTGTGCTGTGTCCTCCTGTAATAACATGTAGATAGGAAGTCAGGTATGTTACTGCACGAACCATTCCTCTGGTGGTCATTCATGAAACACATTTGATGTAGATGTGTAAAAGGTAAACTGCAGGCAATCTGGAATGATAGCTGTAGAGAACTGCCCAGCAAATAACATTTGGAAAACAAAGTGCAAAGATCTGACTGTGGTGGTAAAGGCAGCTCATGCTAGAAGCTGAAAAAAGACAGATCCTGTTGTGTGGAAGGGTCCCTTATTTTGTGCCACATCTGCTGAGGGCAAACCTTGGTCATAAAAGGAATGCTGGGATTACTGGCTTCTGTTGCTGGAGAGAAGCCAGAGCAGTGCTTCGGTTCAAGGGCTGATGTGCTACACAGGTACCCTTTTGCACTAAAGTCAGCAGAAGGAGGTCTAGTTTCTGTGGGGACCGCTGTCCTGCAGGCCAAAGCATTTTTTTGTGTCATGTCTCTAGTGGGACAGTAAGCAATACAGGTTGGCTTTAACATTAAATGGAAGTGAGAATAAGAAGGGTAAATTGGCTTCATACTGCCAAGGTGCTTGCTTTAAGTACCTCTGCTAGCCTAGTTACCCTGCCTGGGGCATATGTACACTGTGATCTGCAGAGCAGAACTACTTACAGCTCTTCTCACTCTGCTTCTCTGAGCCTTCCTTTGCTTTTTTAATAAACATTAGTTCGTGAAGCTGCAGTTGTAACTCTGAGTGTCCTCTTAGGACTGAGAAATTAAGACTTTGTCCTCAAAGAACAACAAGCAAAAATTCATGTAATCTCGGTGTTGCCAGGATCGTGGAGGACAGCAATGGTTTGTAGTCCACTGTGTAGGCAGGTATGAAATCCATATGGCTCTATATAAAGCCTCAGGCCTTTATTTGAATGGAAATCTGTGTCTGGAAAGAATAGTTCTAATGTGCAGTACTTGACTAAGCACAGATCTGGATCCCAGCAGTATAGATCAGTATAGATATTGAAACTGGCTTCTGTTGGATTATGAAGTGATCAAGTACCTTGGAAGGGGAGTGCTAAGTGTATGGAGTGCCCAATTTGAAACATTTTTCTCTCTTCCCTCAATGCCTGGCAGTGTCTTTCAAAGAAGCTAGCATCAGATAGAACCCAACATCTTCCTTCCTGCCTCCTTTGTTGACTTGCGTCAAAATGCAGGCAGAGTGCAGAGCAAGGACCTGGAGTTTTTTGTCTTCCCAGTGACCAGGGACCATGAGCAATGTGCCCTGTTGGCAGCTGCTTACTGAAGAAATTGCTGTAGTGTCAGAAATTTGCCTGACGTTTTGGCTTTTACCCATCTGTGTATGACAGTCACTGCTTTGTATACAGATTGCTGACTAGAGTTCTGCACTAGAAACGTGCTAGAAGGGAAAACTTTACTTTGAATTTTTATATTGTTTGTCTTTCATAATGAATGTAGCTGCAACTGGCTGGAGTTTCTGAGAAACTCTCTTAGCCTGAGAATCCCACAAGCTAAACCATATTTCCTGGTTATGATTTAGTACCATTTGTATTGTGAAAAAGCCATGAAAATGTCCTGTACTGTAATAAATTACTGGCACTGCAGCTTTTCAAAGATGGTTCTGCTTTATGCTGCTGTTGTGTTACCTCATTGTTACCAGAACAGATTTTGTAAGCTAGTTGTGGGGACACAGGTCTGCCTGCTGTGCGCACCAGAAAAGAGTGTCTGTTAAAGTCTCTGGCTTTATATAACCACTAAGAGATGTGTGTTAGTGGGCCTTGAGATAGGAAGGATCAAGGTGATACATGAAAGAAGGTTTGGGGTAGTCTGAGAGTAGGGGAGGGAGCAGGAATAAGGGAGTACATATGTCATGAGAAGCCTGGGAGTCTGTGTCACACAGCTACTGTGGGATGAAAAAAAATGTGAGAATGAGAAAAGTTGTCTTAAAAGGGTCTTGTGAAGAGTTGGAGGCTCCTGAGGCTGTAACCAAGGTATGTGTCAACAATTTCGCATGTGATGATCTCTGGGACAGAAAGATGTGTAAGGGAGGAATTCCCAAGCATCTCCCAGTAGGGTGTCTGTTTTGGGATGTGGATACACACAGAGGACCATTGTGTCCTGTCACTCTTGCAGCATTTTGGTTTTGGAAATAGAGTAGCACTAATCCTTCTGCTTGTCTGAATTAAGGTGCCACTGGCATTGAAGATCGCCTGCAGGAGGGTGTTCCAGACACAATACAGGCATTACGGAAAGCAGGAATAAAAATATGGATGCTGACAGGTGACAAGAGAGAGACAGCTGTCAACATTGCCTATGCTTGTAAACTGCTGGAACCAGATGACAGAATCTTCACTCTCAAATCACAAAGTAGGGTGAGTGGAAAATTACACTTTTCTTCAAATTTTTTTTTCTCTACCAAAAAATTCAGTCAAGCTATATCGCAGGGCAATATGGAATAATAAAATGTTCTCTGCTTTCCCAACCAAACAAAGACAGCAAGATTTCTCGGAAGATGAAAATACTGGAAAACTGACAGTTTGCTTCCTTGTGCTTCCTTCACATATTAGAGATTTCAAATGTCTGTGAGTTACAGCATATTAGCAATGTAAAAATTATTGCCATGCAATTTCTGTTGAATTAAGTTTTGTGCTGCTTTGTGTAATATATTCCCACAGCCCTGCTTGTCCTCCATAAATGTACAAAGAATTGTCTCATTAAAGTAGTACATTGCACGCTATTCAAGAAAACTAATCTGCAAACAATTTTATCAGAGAAAAAGACATCTTCTCCCCACCCAGTAATTGAGTCATATGATAAAGACTGGTTAAAAATGCTTCTGTTTTGGGTGGTGAGTTTAATCCTACTTGATTGTTGTGTCCTCTTGTGGAAACTCATAACCAGCTGTTTTTCAAATCTTGATTTTTATACATTTCAGGATTCTTAAGAGAGAAATTACTAACTGTAACTGGTAAAGCCAACATATGAAATATCTCTTCTCAGAGCAGAGACATGAAATCTGAGACTTCTCTAAAGAACGGGAGGATTTTTCTAAAACCTTTTCTTTTTCTTTTTTTCTCTGCTTATATTTTACTTTAGAAATTCACTTTCTGTCTGCCATAAAAGATTGTGTGGTGAGTGGTAACTGGAGAAAAAAAAGTGAAAAATAAAAGATTTTTAGTCTAGTTGTGTTTGAGGAAAGCTTGGGGTTACAATTTCGCTAACAGTTTTTTCTTCCTTTTTTCCTACTGGGGACTGCATATCTTACTTAACAGTGAGAACTGAGCCCCTTTTGCAAAAGTGCTCATCGTCTCTCTAACTGGGCTTTGAAATAAAAAATAGACAGGATTTGATACTGTTGCATTTCCAAGTAGAATAATGAGAAGATTTAAGAATATATATTTTCTTCTATACAGCATGCACATTACATATATTGATATCAAGAATCTTTTAGGCATCTTTTATTGATTCTAACAAGGTAAAAAAATCCACAAGGCCAGTTCTTCAGTAATTCATTGCAGCTCACCTATAATTTGATTTGAAATGCACTTTTGGTTTTGCATGCCAGACAAAAGAAATGCAGAGAGAAGAAGTTGTCTATCAAAGCTGTATTTATATTACAGAATCCTTCATGGTTGTTTTTTCTGCTAGTCTATGAACATTTTCTGATTTGCTTCAGATTTTTCCCTTCTCCTAGTACCATACCCAAGCCAATCTACTTAAGAAAAGTTAAATCACGATCCCTTTATTAACAACAGATTGCATCCTTTGTGACTTTAAAGGGTTATTCATTCTCATGTCTGAGCCTTTCTGGATTAAAGTGAAATGCTGCACATGGGCAGCATTTGACCTTTTCTCCATATGTGTTTTATAAATTGAAAAGGGAGACAGACACTAACAATATTTAATAAGTTGCCTTTCTCTTGTCTTTAATTAGGATGCCTGTGCCTTGGTGATGAGCAAAATTTTAGAAGGCATCCAGAAGAATACTTCTGCCAAAAAAAAACCCAGTCATAAACTTGGGAATGTCTCTGCAAGTCCCTCCACCCAAGCTCCAGGGTTCAGTGCAGGCCTGGTTATTGATGGAAGGACTTTAGAGCATGTCCTTCATGACAGCCTACAAAATATTTTCTTGGAACTCACAGAAAAATGTCAGGCTGTAGTCTGCTGCCGAGCCACACCACTACAGAAAAGTGTCCTGGTCAGACTGGTGCGAAATAAGCTGAAGGCAGTGACATTAGCTGTAGGTGAGTCCTGTGGTTATCTTCTTTTCTCTGAAAAGAAGTAGAAGCCAGTTTCTTCTTTCCTGTGTTTTTGTTAATGTCTGTCACAAAATTTACTTTTCAAGGAAGGTAATCCTTTGAATTGTAGTTGTCTCTGGCATAAGATCATGTTAGTCTTATGAACTAGCAAATTTAGTCCATAAACTTACTGATGGTAATCTAAAGCAACAAGAACAGCAGCAGTCAAGCACAGTGTTAGGTTCCATGTCCAAAGCAGCAAGTAAGGGGATTTTCATTGTCATTCTCCATCACAGCCCTCCAAAATAGGGAGGGAGAGGGGAGATGACTGGCTGTGATTTAAAACACCCGTATTTTCTGTTCCAGCATAGCAACTAAATTCTGAGAAAAAGGAACAGCTAATGTCCATTTGGAGAATACAGCTCAGTTCACTCAGGCCATTCACTTACTAATGCTGCTTTCTGTAGGGTTTTCCATAGGATGCATTGTTGGCCATAAAAATGTTTTTCTTTGAACTCTCTGGTGTTCTTGTATATTTGTCTTTTCCTGCCACTTCCATGGTGATGTGATAGCCAGCAAAGCTGCCTCCAGGTTGCATTCCAAATAAGAGAGGTTAGTTTTGATTTTTCCTCCTTTCTCTGTAGGTGATGGTGCCAATGATGTCAGTATGATCCAGGTAGCTGACACTGGTGTGGGAATATCAGGCCAAGAAGGCATGCAGGTAGTGTTTACAAAGACAGCTGCAAATGACATCAGATTCCATTTTAAATCAGTTCAGAGTTTGTGTTGAAGGCCAGTGGCTCCGCAGTCTATTACCATACATGGGCAAGAGTTTGCAGCCTGAGCTCACAACCAGGCCTCAGCACTGTTCCAGGAGCACTCAGAGGCTGAATGCTGCAAGGGTTCAAATTCCAAATAAGAGAGCTTGCTGCCTGTCACCAAACTCCCTATTACTCGTGTCCTGCCAGGAAACAAGCAGCCTAAGTATCAGTGATTTCTGTGCAGTTGTGTGGTAATCATAAAGACAGCCATGTTCCTGCCTATGTTGTGTTGGGCTGAGCTGTGTGTGTGTTAGTGTAAAATGTTGTATGGAGATGCTCAGGTCTGAGTGAGGGTAAGACCATAAGCATAAAATATAAAAAATATTTAAAAATCATAAAATAATAATTTCCAGCGGTAGGTAAGTTGCTCACTTGTCAGTACCTGAACCTTATCTTTAACAGCTTGGATATAACATATCTTTACCTTCGTGTGCGTTGCAGGCTGTGATGGCAAGTGACTTTGCAATCTCTCAGTTTAGACACCTCAGGAAGCTGCTGCTTGTCCATGGCCACTGGTGTTATACCAGGCTTACCAACATGGTGCTTTACTTCTTCTACAAAAATGTGGTACGTAGGTGTCCCATCCCAAGGAAATCACAATTTACATATTTGAGAGTGCCGAAGGGTTTAGTGGGGCTTTATATTGTGAATGGGTTCAAAAAGACACAAAAAGCATATGTCAAACAATTCAGTTTCCCATTTATGTCTGCAGAGACCAGAGACTCTTATTCCTTGGGCTGAATTTTCTGCCATTGTCTGATTTGATTAAACAGTAGGTAACAGGCATTCCTAATGCAGTGTCAGCATGACTATTTAAACAAGTCATGACCAATTTTGAAATGTAAAGCCGTGTGCCGGTCAAATATAATTTCAGAGTATGGGATTGGCATGAACTCCACAGCATTTATATTTACTTTTCCACAGATTACTGTAACCAGACACGAGATCTGCCTGTTTTCACTTGGTTTTTAAAACACTTGTCTATGGGTAACAGTTTATCATGTCATCTTTAACTTTTCAGGCCTATGTGAACCTCCTGTTCTGGTACCAGTTCTTCTGTGGGTTTTCAGGCACATCAATGACTGACTATTGGATCTTGATTCTTTTCAATCTCCTTTTTACATCATTGCCACCCATCATATATGGTGTCTTGGACAAAGATGTGTCTGCGGAGATACTCATGCAGCTCCCACAGCTGTACATGATGAGCCAGAAATCTGTGGTAGGTTAAAGAGTGCTTGGCCTGAAGCAAATTGAAATGGTCAGCATTTGAGCCATTTCTGTCTTTCTTTCCTTCATCATTTCCATCAGGCAAATGTGAAGTTTAAAACCACTTTCTCTATTAAAAAAACATTTAGGCTTGTGCAATATGTGCACAATTAAAAGCTGTTTTTTCAGAAGTTTTTTATAGGCTCTTTTCAGCCATACACCCAATCTCGTCAGACGTTTGGATGATAAGAGAAATTAAGGACTTTAGGTGAAGAGATGTACTAGATAAACACCGTTACCAGTGTGTTCACTTCATTCACTGCCTCAGCTGTCAACATGCTTCCTCAAAATAGTTTCCTTTTGGCGTCTGGGCTTATTTTTAAAGATAAGGGGACTAGGTACTGTTTTTTCACTGTCATAACTGTCTCAACTGTCAAAGTAATGAGGAGCGGATAAGAACCAGAGCAGATGCCTTTTGAATAATCCTCAAGAAAGATCTGTCATTCAGGGTTCTTTTCTCCTTATGGGTATGTTCTGGCATTTGCTGGTGGCACTTTTCTCCCATCTGAAAACACTATACATCTTATCTGCTCTGTAAGTAAATTCTGTCCAAATATTTAGCACAGAAAACCACAGGGAGTGGGGTGTAGTTTCTAAATCAAAATTATGTAAATCGGTAAGCTTTTTCATTGTTTCTGCTTTGCTTAACATGAATTCTAGCATAATTTTAACTTTCTCTTTTTTTTTTTTTTTTAACTTAACACTTAATTTGAATACTATTTTTATTATAACAATTGAAGGCGGTGACATACTGAGCCTGAGACAGAAGAAATATAGTAGCCCATAGGGAAGAAACACTGAGCATATGATTCACCTAAAAGTCACCATTTTCTTTATGATCATAGCCTTTCAATAACAGAGTTGACGTTAGGAAGCATTTCTTTACAGAGAGGGTGGTCAAACACTGGAACAGGCTTCCTAGAGACATGGTCAATGCCCCAAGCCTGACAGTGTTTAAGAGGCATTCGGACAATGCCCTTAATAACATGCTTTAACTTTTGCTCAGACAGTAGGACTAGATGATCATTGTAGGCCCCTTCCAGCTGAAGTACTCTGTTCTGTTCTGTTCTATTCTATTCTAACAAATACTATGGGAAAAAAAAGAGCTACAACATACTGTGCACTAATTGTGCAGCATTGCCTGTGTAACCTGACAGAAGTCTAGGTCTGGTTTAGAAAGAAAAGAAGGATATACATTGAGGGGACGATTTATTTTGTTTGTGAACATTTACATTTCTTTTTACATATTCTGTGTTGCTTGGTTTATGATCTTTTTGCAAAACTAAGTACTCTTTTGGTACTGATCCAAGCCTCTGCAGACTGGCTGGAGCAGGACTGTGCTGTGTCAGTCACAGAGAGTTCTGACTAAGGAAATATTACAAGGCTTCAGGATTTGGCCTTTTATTTTGATCCTCAGGATATGTACGGTAATCTGAGCTGAAGGTCTTGAGGAATCAAGAATCAGAATTACTGCATTAGAGAATAGTTATTCTCTTTTCCCTTCTTTTTCCTTAACTTTTATCAGAGTTTTTCCTCTTTTGTCCAGAACAGCATTGCCTTGATCTGTGGTTGGTATTAAGTGGTATATAATTTCCTTTCTTGCATGGAAGCAGAGTGAAATAATTGCTTTGAATTAAGTGCAGTATGAAAGAAAGAGAAATGCTATGAAAGATGTAGTATCACAATATTGCGCCATGACGTCGTAAGTGCACAGCTCTGTAGAGCTGTAAAGATAGACAGTAACTTGGATTCATCTTCAGTAATTTAAAGCAATTCCCTGACAGGCAAATAAGAAGGTAAGTTTCCCACACCACTTCAGAGAGCAGTTCAGTTCTTGAAAGGGTTGAATGGCTTTTTGGAGAAACCTATCTCTCTCCACTAATTGTAGAGGAAGTCGTGGGTGACTAGGCTGCTCATATGTGTCTCACTTGAGTGCCTGAAGGAATGGGATATATCTGAGCCGGGGCACACACAGCTATGGTTTTCTAAGCGGTTGAGCTGTCATAGCAGTTTGCTGCCACTGAGTGAGGAAGGCTCGTTCCTTCTCCTTCTCACTTCTTTTCTTCCCATTCCCTATTTTCACCCACGTAGTTAAACTACCTTCCTTGCGCCAGCCCAGTTGTCCCATCAGGTCCTTCCAAGAGCTGATTTAGCTCACTAAAACAGCAATGTGTTATTCCATCAGAAAAACAAATTGATTTCTCACATTTTAGTGAGTTAAGTTAGCTCATGGAGGAGTCTGGTCTGCACAGAGGAGTCAGCCAGCATGAATTAAGAGGCAGAAGCACAGGTACCAAAAAAGAAAGGGGTGGAGACAGAAGAAAGTGGGGCTTGGCATTCAGTGATAGCAAGTTTCTGGGGTAAGTCACTGTCCCCTGGCCCTCTCCTTTCCTTAGTACTCAGTTAGTTAAGGCTCTAGTAGGTCTGTTCTGGCAGAAACAGCTGTAAGATCAGAGTTCCCAGATCAGGCTGCTGATTTAAATACTAACGGCTACAGTTAGTGTGAGCTCTTTATTCTTATAACATAAAAGATGCCTCTTCATTGGGAAACTACTGGAATTACTTCTACGGATAATCTTTCCCCAAATTCAAATTAATGCTAATTAAGGCTGCAGCATTTTGTTCTATTTACTTCAGTGCTATTATCTTTTTTTCTTACAGGCTTACTTGACTTCAGCTTTCTGGATAACCTTGCTGGATGCTTTTTACCAAAGTCTCGTTTGCTTTTTTGTGCCTTACTTTGTAAGTGCTGGATATAAAATACATTTATACATTTTGACATACTAAAAACTCAGGCAAATTAGAGAATAAATGAAGTGTTTGATTTTACTTGTTCATATATAAATGTATATGAACAGGATCATAATTGGAACTGAGCTGAACTGTGTGCATGCAATTATGGATGGTATTGAAACTATTCACACCACTTTGTGTATTAGGACTATATGTAATGAATATATTATGCTGACTCCTGTCTTCCTTTACAGACCTACTATGGCTCAGACATTGACATTTTTTCTTTTGGAAACCCTATAAACACAGCAGCGCTCTTCATAATACTGTTTCACCTTCTCATTGAGTGCAAGTCTGTGGTGAGTATTTTGTTTCCAAAAGAGTATATTCCTAACAGAGTATGTGCATACAGCTTTAATTAAAATTAAACAGAAGAAAGAGCTTCATATGCAAAACAGAATAAGTATAAAAGGGCCAAAACCTAAATATTTTGGTTTTTGGACCATGTGAGCTCTCCTAATGCACCTGTCATGGGAGCCAACAGAGTTACTCGTATGACTAAAATTAACAAAATTTGGCCTCAGAATTATTTGAAAATAGTGAAAGGATTCTGCCTCATTAGGGTACGGTGGATTTCGGGATGTCAGTTAAGTTTTGCAAATGGTAAAACCAACCACTGATCTACTGAGCCTACTTTAGTTCCCAACACTTGCATCTCAAAGACAACAATGTGAACTGTTGATTTTGAATGTTTGGAACTGATGATCTGCTCTGTGGCCAGGATGAGCAATTCAGAGTTATACTTTGGTGCCAGAACTAGAGAACTGCTATGCTACAGAAATGCTAGTCCAGTGTTTAGTTAAGTCTGTGCAACCTAAAGCATCTGCAATAGCTTGCATAAATTTATAGCCCTTACAAGGCTAATACTTGAGTATTTTGCATAATTTTAAAGAAAATGCAATAATATTTACAGTAGAAGGACACAGAATAATGGGTTTTATTTTTTCTCTTATTTTTTTGAAAAAGATTTTTTATGATTGTTTTATAATTGATGAAATTTCAAGTTGTGATTCAGTCATTTCATTGTTATTTTGGGAGCACAGCAGCGGTGATAAAAATGTCTTTATTGAGAATATATGGGTAGCATGAGTGTACCCACACTCTGAATAGGAAACCATTACTTAAATGGGTTTTATTTGGCATTTTTGAATGTCGGCAAGCTGCCACACCAATGGCAGTTTTGTTTCCATAATAACTATTATGGCCGTTTTGGTATAAAATTACAGAAAACTCCAATGTAGAACAGTTAACCAATGTCTCAAGATCCATAAGGGTGGTGTCATGTGAAGATCTTGCCTCCGTTTGCTTGAGAAGGCTTTCTCTGCTGACAGTAGATGAGGTTGTCATCTAAGGCAAATGGCACAAAAAATGTCTTTCACAAAGGAATCAAAAGCTATGCAATTAATAGAATAAAAAAATTTAAATGGCTGGGTTACCTATGAACTGTGGGAAGAAGCTTCCATTCTTCCTGGAATGTTTTGTACAAAATTAGGAATATTATCTGAACAGATCTATCCTCTGTTACATTAAGCAGCTGTCCTTGGAGGAGGAGTGCACACAGGTGTTACTGGTCTTTCTGTTTATAGCTTAAATCTAATTTCTTTCTTTTTCTGAATTGCAGACGTGGATACATACAGTAGTTATAGTTGGCAGCATCCTGTTTTACTTTGTCTTCACTCTGGCTTTTGGGGCAACCTGCAAAACCTTCAACCCACGATCAAATCCTTACTGGATCATGGAAAAGCACATGACAGACCCAGTATTTTACTTAGTTTGTCTCCTGACTATTTGTGTTGCTCTGCTACCCAGGTGTGTTTCTGTTTTCTAACTGCAGATTTCTGTTGTTAACAAAATTAGTTTTCTTTGAGTCAGTGATGATATAAATCTCTCTGGATAGAGGTCTTCCTCCCCCTCCACTCCCAGTGTAAAGGAAATTTCATAACTCTACCAGACCACGCCATGTGAGGACAGCTCCTTAGTGATATGTTCTCAAAGTAAATTTCAGTAAATAAAAAATTCCTCTTGTGATTTATATTATATTAAATTATTTATATTATATTAA